GGCGTCTGCCCAGTCTCCTCTTCAAGACTTCCAGGGGTGGGGACTGCGCCACCTCCTTGGGAAGTCTATTCCAGATTCTGGTCACCCTTACCATAAAGAAGTTCTTCCTTACATCCAACCTGAAGCCATCCTCTCACAGTTTATGGCCATTGCTCCTTGTCCTCCCCTGGGCACCCTAGTGAACAGTTTTTCTCTCAGCTCCCAATATTCCCTTACATACTTATAGGCGGCCACCAAGTCCCCCCCTCAGTCTTCTCTTTCCCAGGCTGAACAGTCCCAGACAACTTAGTCTTTCCTCATAAAGTTTGTCCTCCAGGCCCTTAATCATTCATGTGGCCCTTCTCTGGACCCTTTCAAGATTCTCCATGTGTTTTTTGAAGTGCGGCATCCAGAACTGGACACTGTGCTCCAGCTGGGGTCTCACCAGCACCAAGAACAGAGGAAGTATCACTTTCTTAGATCTGCTTGCAACACATAGATTCATATATTGTTAGGGGCTGGCAGGGACCTTGCAGATCATCAGGTCCAGCCCCCCTGCTCTAGGCAGGAAGACAACTGGGGTTATGTGACCCCAGTGAGGTGACTGCTTAGTTTTCTCTTGAAAACCTCCAGGGTAAGTGACTACACCACCTCTGGATGGAGTTTATTCCAGTCCTGACACCCTGACTGTGAAGGAGTTTTTCCTGGTATTAAGCCTGAAGCAGCCTTCCAGGAGTTTGTATCCATTGGTCCTGGTCTTCCCCCAGGGTGCCCTAGTGAACAGCTGTTCACCGAGCTCCTGATGCACTCCTCTGCTATAGCGATATCAAGTCCCCTCTCAACCTTCTCTTCTTTAGGCTAAAGAGGCCCAGGTCCCTCAGCCTTTCCTCGTACAGCTTGCCTTGCAAGTCCCCGATCATACGGGTAGCTCTTTTCTGGACCCTCTCAAGTTTCTCCATTTCCTTATTGAAGTGTGGCACCCAGAACTGGACACAGTACTCCAACTGCAGTCTCACCAGTGCTGAGTACAGCGGGAGTATCACTTCCTTAGTTTTACACGAGATGCATCAGTTGATACATGCCAGTGTGTTATTTGCCCTGCTGGCCACTGCATTGCACTGACAGCTCATATTCATGCAATGGTCAGTCATTACCCCTACGTCCCTTTCGGCTGTGGTGCAAGTCAAGCTGTCACCACCGAGCCTGTATGTATGTTGAGGGTTGTTTGCCCCCAGATGGAGCGCCTTACACTTGGAAGTGTTAAACTTCATCTAGTTCCGGTCTACCCAACTCTCAAGCCTGTCCAGGGCCACCTGTATCTGCGACCTATCTTCTGGCATGACCACGCTGCCCCATAACTTGGCCAGTGAGCTTTTCATTCCGCCATCCAAATCATGGATAAAGATGTTGAAAAGCACCAGTCCATGCACGGACCACTGAGCGACACCACTGGCCACTTCATGCCAGGATGATGCAGATCCATTAATGAGAATGCTCTGAGTCCTACCCTGTAGCCAGTTTCCCACCCACTGAACCATTGAGCAGCTAAGCTCACAAACTTTCAGTTTTCCCACAAGGATATTGTGGGATATTAGACAAAAAGCCTTTTGGAAGTCTAGGTGTATAACGTCTACCTCGTCTCCCATGTCCAGGTGGTGAGAGACCTGATTGTATAAGGAGATGAGATTGGTAAGACAAGACCGACCCACGACAAAGCCATGCTGGCTGTTGTTCAGAATCTTACCTTCTGCAAGTGTATCGCACATAGATTCTTTAATGAACTTTTCCAGGATTTTCCCTAGGATGGAGGTTAGGCTGACTGGCCTATAGTTGCCTGGGTCCTCCATCTTTTCCTTCTTGAATATGGGCACAATGTTGGCCCTCTTCCAATCCTCAGGGATTTCCCCTGTGCACCATGAATTCTGAAAGAGCTTTGCCAGGGGTTCTGCGATGACCTCAGCCAGCTACTTCAGCGCTTTTGGATGGAGTCCATCCAATCCTAAAGACTTATAAATGTCTAGCTTTTCTAGTTGGTATTGCACTCACTCAGCATCCACAGTGGGGAGGCTGTCAGTCCTGGCACGTCCCCTATAAGCCTTATCTTGCTTGACTTTCCCCTTCATCCAGTGAAATACCGAAGCAAAGTGGGCATTCAGGAGTTCAGTTTTTTCCTGAATGTTGGTTACCAGCTGTCTCGAGGTGTTAAGCAGGGGTCCCACACTTCCATTTGTTTTCCTTCTACTGCCTACACATCTAAAGAAGGACTTCTTATTGTCCTTGACTCCCGTAGCTAACCTAAACTCTGTTGCTGCCTTGGCTTTCCTGATCATTTCCCTACAGCTGGCCACTGTTGCATCAGCTAATGCATCCCAGTATGCTATTAACTCTGTTGACTACAGCTTTGCACTCTGGCGGTTCATGTTCACTCTGTGATCAACCATAACTCCCAGGTCCCTTTCAGCCATCATGCTGGCCAGGGCATCTCCTCATAACCTACATTCATGTCGCTTGTTACTTCTTCCCAGATGAAGCACTCTGTATTTATTTTTATCGAATTGCGGACAACTGCATTCTCTTTCTTTTTCTGTACATCACTCCACCTTGTTTCTCTTCTTCTTTTTTGACATTTTGTCTGCTCCCCCAAGTTCTTCCTTCTGCATCCCTTTTTCATACCAACCATCTTCCGATATACAGTGGTGTCCATTTCTTAACAATTGCCGGTCTCTTCTAAATATAAACATCAGAACCTGGTGTGTGATAAATGTTGGCCAATGGTAACAATTTAAAGGTGACCACTGCAAATAGTTAGTAGTGCCATAGTTATTAGAGTGTGTAGTCTTCCAATAGGATTCACACAAGCTGCTCATTAGATAAGGTATATTCAATGTAAATACAGGGTTCACACAGTGGTCCCATGAACTAAGTAAAGCCCAATGATGACATCATGTCACTAAAGCCATAAACAAATGTAGGAATTTCTGCATGCAAACAATTTTGAGAATTATTCTGATATTTTTTAAAGAAGAAAAGAACCTTTCTTCCTTTCCCTCTGGAATAAACTACTGCCTGATACCAAGATCATCTTATAGGATAGTGCCTTACTTATGTTTTGCATATTACTAAATATCAGCAAAAATAAATGTGTTCATTTCTCCTTAATACCTCCAGATGGCATTAAAACTCTTCTCCTTTAGGTCTTTATTGCAATATAATTTTTAAAAAATGGTAATTATTGGAAGCATTCTGTACCAAAGTACACTACCAACCACTCCCAACAGTCATATTATCAGAAAGCGTAAGGATGCTAGTACTTAATTTAATATGTTTGGCTAAATATGCTAACATACTGTAATTACATTCTACAGAACAATCTGGAGGACATGACATTTCCTAGACCTCGATCATGTCAAATCTTTTTTTAGGTTTATATTCAGATGATTTTAAATGCCTTTCAATAGAAAAAACAAAAATATTCAAGAATAAATTACCCTTTTTTACCTTCTTCTGTGACTATTTTTTGCTGCGTAACAAATGGTGGCATCTTGCAAGGTTTGTATGGTATAGCACTAAGAATTTAAATAATGGGGAGTAGAGGACATAAACTGCAAACAAGATGCACTCTTAACTTTACATGCCTGCAGTCCTACAACAACTTTTCCCTTTTAATGGGATAAAAAGAGTGAAAGATTTTGTGGAAACTCAAGCCTCTCCTGATTCATGTGAGTTACTTATTTGTTTTTTTTTGTTTTGTTTTGGGCAGGGGGTTGGTTTATTCTGATAGTTTATTTTGATGATGGTAAAACAGTTCAGTCCTTGATATGCTGAGGAACAAAAAAAGGTAAAACCCTCCACTGTTGCATTCAAGTGCAGGTGAACTGATATATTACAAGTGCCCATTTCTCTCTTTCTCAGATTCTTTTGTTAATTTAAAAACATCAACAAAATCATGAGAGACTAGAGATAGCTGTAATTGGATTTCAGGTAATTCAGAGATGAAGCTGCAGACTGCAGTCTTTTAAAATCACATCAGTACATCAAAGGCATATGTGACATAATATCTTTTAGCAAGTGTGACAAACTCCTGAAGCATTAAGGTAATGTTGAACCTCTGGCTCTAAAGGCCAGCCTCCCACACACCACAAAATCATTTAATATTCATTCAGCTTGATACACAGCCATCTCACTTATTAAGATCTCTCAGGTTAAAGATGCAAATGTTTTATGAACAATTAATGAATCATGACTAAAAAGCATTTTTAAGAATAACATCAGTGAAAGAGCTTCAACTTAATGAAAGCAAACAAAAACTATTTTGCATGACAAAGCAGATAAAAGCATAGTAGTCATCTCTGATTAGAAACAAAAACTGACTTACGATGTATGAGATGCACTATTTTCTGGACTCTTTGGCTCAACATCACTTTTCCCTTGAAAAAGAAGAAAATGCGTGAATAAGAAAATCTTTCTGATTTGACATTCCATCTCATTTTCATGCTTATATTTAACACTTTCTGAATATGCAGAAGAATGCTTCCTAAGTAATCATGTGTCAAGTTGCTAGGGCATTACAGAAACAATTGCAAACATTGAATTAACCACAACATGACTTTTCATGGCTCTGATTTTTGCTTAGGAAATTTCAGCCCAATCAGGTCCTCAGTAAGAAGGCAGAAAATGCAGTAGGAGTGGCTGCTTAGAGGACAGAACACTTTGGACTGTGAAATGGGATGTGGAAGTCCACAAAGGAATCAAATACATCCAACTGCTATGTTAGATGTCTAAGTCTGTTATTTGGATTTTCAAAATCCCCACACATTTTCTGCTGATTGCCTGAACGTGGTTTCCCTTGGCACCTAAGCACTTGTCTACACCATGTCAGAGGTAGCCTCTGGGGAGAACAGGACTGAACTCACCCAAGTCTGATGATGCACACTACAGCGGAAACTTCACAGTGAAGCTGCTCTGGTCTTGTCCTGTTGTCAACAGGCCAAGGGTCCCAAAGCAGCTGAGATGCTAAGTACCTAAATTCCGGCAGGATTCATAAACCAAATATTCCTCAATTCATTTTCCTGCAGAAGCCTATGTGTTAGGTGGTTTCAGAAAATGTCTTCTGGATCAATCAGGAGGAAAAGGGGTCAGAGCAAATGATGCTGCAACCAGGGGTTTAGGATATTCATCTCGGGGGCATAAGAGAACAGCTTCATGGAAGAGACTGAGATAGACCTACATCAGAATGCCATACATTCACCTATGCTCCAATAGCTGGAGCACTCTGCTGAGAAATGGATGATATGGATTCAAATCTCTGGCCCAAATCAAGCAGAATGGAGATTCAAGCCTTAGTCTCCCACATCCCAGATGAAGGCTCTAACTACTAGGTAATAAATTTCTAGGGTTTTGATGGTAGAGGACTCCAAGTTGTTGGGGGGGGGGTTTGTCATCTAGAGCTGATGTAGCTTAGACACCTAACTCCAGAAGGGGATTGGGGCAAGATGCTTAGTGCACCTGCCGTTTTAAGAGGAGAAGTTGCCTGAGAGGCAGCTTCCAGGTGGTATGGAGGGGAGGGGAGCGGGAGAGGGCAGAGCCTGAGCCAAATAACCCCAAAGCCTGAATGGGTCAGGCAGTATAGCCTTGGGAGCCATGAAGAGATAGGCTCCAGTTAGCAGGACTCCTGAATGACCCAGGAATTTGGGAAGCTGCTCCGCAGGCCTGGGAGCAAGGGAACATTATTCAGGCAGATAGAGAAGGGTTTTTTGCAGTCAAGTGGCCTTTATTTGATGCTGGTACTCTTTTTTGAGATGCAAGCCTTGAGCCCTACTGGAGACAGGCTCAAGTTCTACTCAGTAAGCCAGTAGCTCAGAGGGGAGCAGTGAGTTAGGTTAGATGGTCCACCAATCCAGGGAGTGACTGAGCATGGGACTAGGAGGCCCAGGAGCCAGGGAGTGGCCGAGCATGGGACCAAGGGGCAGGGGAGTCAGGGAGTGGCCAAGTATGGAGCCAGAGGGCCATGGAGCCCAGGGAGGCACTAAGCTTGGGACCAGGGGGCCCAGGAGCCCAGAGAGAGAGGGCTGAGTGACTCAGAGGGTCTGAGAGTCCAGGGAGGGGCTAAGTGTGGAAGGAACATCAGGAATGATAACGCCTGTGGGGCTTGGGG